TGTCCCGAAATATACCACCATTAAATATAAATGTATGTAACTAACTGTATTGGTACGTAGTACTCCAAAGATGAATATTTACTAGCTTTTAAGTGCTGTCTCAATTATTAAAAATTGGTCTAGAGATCGTAAATAATGCATTTTGAATAATTAATAACAATGGATCATAAAGATGGGATGCCTTTATTTATTGTATAATAGCGCCCTCTCCCGGCTTTGCATTGCTCGACAATTTGCGAATATGTATTTGTAAATAAATATAGGCTATGTTACATAGGGAGAACGCATTCTGGATTATATAATGATGAAAGAATTTAAAAAAGGTCCAGTATTTTTTGTGGGTTTTCGTTACAAACATACAAATCTCTTCACTGATCTTTATTATATTAGTATATATATCATAAAAAACTGTTCTTATTGTATTTTGTATGATTTGTATCAAAATATACGTTTAATTAACAAGATATGGATAATAGTCGATTTTGAAATAAAACTTTCTTATTTATTCGTTGTGCGTAGGGCATTGTCAACCTTACCAAAGCATTCTCTGTCGCCATGTTTTAGTAAAAATATTAAAATCAAACCGATTATCAATTTATTTCTTACACAATGTCAGCTGTATTTGTTAACACATTTAACTAAACTTGTATAAAATCTTTTCTACATTCCTTTCAATATTTTATATTTATATTTTTAAACGAAATATAATGCCGGGGTCTTCTGACGAATCGCTCGCGTAGTTTAATAATACAGCAATATGCAAAGTACTGACATCAAACTATACAAACGTTTGGGTGGGTGAAAATTAATAAAAAATAATAGAATATATTTTTTATAAACCCGATAAATATTATTCTTAATGCATTTATTTACCTCTGCTATCGTTTGTGTACAATATGTATGATAATTAATTTATTTTGTACATATTATCGCCAGTAATTTATAAAGAAGACGCTTATACAAAATTGAGTAATGGTATGATTTTAAAGCGACTTTTATAGTTCTTGTTAAACATTTCGGTTTTTAAAAATTAAATATTTTGATTTAGCTTTTTCGTACTAAAAGTACAAGAAATTAAAATGGGCACAAATTCTAGTGAGAGGCGTTGTCGAATGGTTACGTGCCATTTTAGATGAAAATAATGTTTTTAGTTTTAAAGTAATTGATTTCCATAGAACTTGCATAATTAACAGTAAAATAAAAGAACCCATTATATTCTATATACTTTAACATTGTATTATTTGTGAATATTATTCATACTGTACATTTTATGAAAGCAGTACAAAACGTTTTGTTTTTCTTGTTGTTAATTGAAAATATTTTGTCTTATCAATATCGTATGTATTCAGTCTTTAAATGCCTATTTAACTGTATTTTTTTTGTATGTAACAAAGAGTACTTAATCATTTCATGCAGCTTCAAAGTTTTATTGCCATACCAACCTTTTTAGACACTTCATAATATACATACATCAACTAAGATATTTTATATAAAATATAACTAAAAATAATGCCAGGGTTGTTACATTTTGTATTCAAATTAAAAAAGAAATTCAATTTTTCACGACAAAACCTATTTGGACAGATGCCAGTTTATAAAATCAACTGCATTGAAGTGTTTAGAAAATATAAAAGTAGTTATAGCCATTGTAATAATAATAAATAACGATTAACACGTTTAAACAGTTTATCTGGAACATTAGGATTAACTATATTTAAGGTTCTGTAGAGCAACTCATATTGTCTAATTTTAATAAATATTGTAATAAATCCATATATCGGATATCAGTGATATTAATATATTTATGGAATAGTGATGGTTATGCTTGTTGCCTAATAAAGTTTTTACCAAAAATTAGTTGTATTCATTCACCTATTATTTATAAACTAATATATATGACATGGCAAGCGTTGGAAGTGTCTTTATAAAATTATTTACCAGCCGTAATTATGGCACCGGGTTCCAAGATTAAGAATAAAGAAATAATAAATTAGTAATCAAACTTAACAGAAGATAATTGTGTAAATAAAATAGCTGGTTAGTAATACATTAAAAGTTAAGGGCCTTAGCTATTTGGTGATACTAACGGCGATCCAGGGGGGTCATGGGGTCATGACCCCCTGAGCAGGACTTAGGTGGACCACTAATTGAACATAATGATTTTATATATAAATTTGTCACCATACAGATTATATGTAACTACATACCTTCAATATTTAATTAATTTAATATAATATAATAACATCATACATGATGGCAAACGTTTGGGAATGAACCATCGAAAATTTGAATTTTCCGCGCCACACTTGCGCGCGCTTGTCGCTATGAAACGTCTAGCTAGACCTTACCTCAATCGGAATCGGAACGACTAAACTTCAACATATCATAACATAGTCCTATTTTAAATTGTGACATCAATATGTATATAGGAAAATTGGATACACTACCCTGTCACCGAAGCGACAGCAGAAAGGTCTTTCTCTACGTTGCGCAGAATTAAATCTAAGATCTTCAATGGTTGAAGATCGCCTAACAGACTGGCACTTCTCCAGTTCAGAAAACGTACCCGTTGACTAAATGATAATAACGCGTTTCGGAAAAACAGGCTAAAGAAAAATTGATTTAGTTATTAAAATATATGTATTTTGTCTGTTTCTATTTGTCTGGATGTCTTCAAGAGAAGATGGTAATATGTACGTGTATACAGGTTGGTCAACTATTGACGTCAATAATTTTTTTAGATTACTCACACCTGGGGTTATACTAAAATACCCCATTATGTTCCGCGATTTTTGTAGTTTTCGAGTTACATTTTTTTGTGTTTTCTGCCAGCGAGGTTTCAAAAATTCATTCTTTTTTGTTGTAGGTATTTCGCAGTTTTTTCTGTTAAATGATTGCCTTAAATATGTTCAAGTAAAAAAATCCAGCTTCTTAAAATTAGTTAAAGCTACTCAAAAAAGTTTTTAAAGTTAGAAGTTTATTAAGTGGATTTGACCAAAATTCGACTTCAATTTAAAAATACAAAAGAAGTTTCCATAGCTTCTAGCTAAGTTTAAAAACTCCACAGGGTTCTAAGCTACAAAATCATAGAAAAAGAATGGTACTACTACTACTAATTGGTCTTTTTTGTTGTAATGGTGGATTTTTTTTGGTGGATAGGCTAAAAATCATTGAAGCATTAAAAATGTTTTTTTCGACTTATTATTCTTATGGTAAATTAAACTAATAATGTGGTTTTTAATTAATTTTAATACCCGTAAAATAAATGTAGCTGTAATCGGCCTTTTCATGTCAATAGGCAAAAAATCATTGAAGCATTAAAACTGTTTTTTTACTTTTATTTTTCTTATGGCAAAACTTTATGATATATTTTTTACTAATTTTAATACCCGTAAAAAAAGTAGCTCGTGTAATTCTTACAATAATTTTGGTCTTACCACTCAAAATTCAAAATGTTATTCGAAATGATTATTGCTAGTTGTGAAATTACCTGTTTTTTAAATAACAAATAAAAACACAATTTACTGAAAAATACTATTTCTAATATATAAAATTCTCGTGTCGCGGTGTTTCGACACTCGAACTTCGTTCGAACTTCTCCGAAACGGCTTGACCGATTCTCATGAAATTTTGTGTGCATATTGGGTATGTCTGAGAATCGGACAAATCTATTTTTCATCCCCTTAATGTTAAGGGTAGTCCACGCCTAAATTATTACTTTTAATTTAGATAAAGTTTTTTTTTCATGATAAACTTTAAAAAATACATAAACCCCAATTTTCACCCCTCTACGATCAACCCTATTTTTTATATACATGGCAAAACGACGTTTGCCGGATCAGCTAGTATTATAATTTTCTATGATTTTGGTAGCTTAGAACCCTGCGGAGTTTCTAAACTTAGAGAAGTATGGAAACTTCTTTTTGTATTTTTAAATTGAAGTCAAATGTTTGAACAAATCCAGCTAAAAACTAAACTTCTAACTTTAAAACCTTTTTGAGTAGCTTTAACTAATTTTAGGAAACTGAGATTTTGAAAAATTATTGATGTCACTAGTTGGACCAACCTGTATACACAATATTATGTGTTAAGTTTTTCAAGTGTACAAAAAGAATAAATATTGATAAGTGCAATACTTACGTACATTAATAAAATACCTACTTTTACTTGTATCTATTACAAAATTAAATTATAAGTTCTTGACTTGACAGATATGTGACCCCCTCCTGGCACCAAAGCTGGATCCGCCCTTTGGTGATACTAACCATATTTATTTGATGAGCTTATGAGTTAATTTAGATATAAACCGGATCAGGAAATAAAATATATATTGTTTTGTTACACTATTACTGCAAGATATAGTTACTACTACTTGTGTGTTAGTGTGTACTAACAATTTAAATTAACATACGCAAAAATCGTATATTTCTTACGATTACTCCGTGGCTTAGCGTAACAAGTCGGAGGTTCTGAATTCATTTCCCGGCGAAGAAATAATTTAGGATTGGTAGCCGTAGACGCATTTGACTTTAAACGGATAATTAAAATGAACCTAGTAATATAACGGGAGTTATTAACGACTGTATATTTGTTGCAATACATTCATTCAGACGCTGATATGGGTCCACAAGGGTTGTTACAACCTCATATGCCATTTAACAAACCAACGCCAAATAATTAACGTTTTAAAACCACTAAAACTCGAGCATCTTGAACAGCATAAAGTTAATTACTTCCCTCTCGAGATGGCTGAAGTATTTTTTATAAATACTGCAATATATATTTGTTTTGGAACAAGCGTTGATACTTGCGTTACCGCGGACGAACTCAGAGCGGCAGTGAGAAACAAACCGCGTCGGCGAGTGAACGTAACGCAGTCGTAATAAATATTTTTACGATAAACTTTTAATATTACAATTTCATATATTTAATTAGGTTTAATTTATGTCATTTGAGTTATGTGGTTTTAATTATTGACTTTGGTAAAAAAAGCAGTAAAAATGATGATGGCCAGTGCAAAATTGGTTCGGGACTGTAGTTCAGACTTGAGTTCGGATGTACGCTCTCTTTCTGTAGAGTCTTCTACCGAGGAACAAGATTCTACTACAACGGAGTCGGAGTATTCTGAAGAAGAGAAGGAATATGAATTAGATGATTTACAAATTCTGAAAACAATTGGTAAGTTTTGCCTACTTAGTACTGAGATAGTCGGTGAATTCAATTTTCTACGTTGATTTTTATGGGATAGGTATGTATGTCTAAATAGTCTTAGTTTTTTACATTTTAGTCCGACTATATATTTGTATGTTTTTAAATATATTTCAATATCTGAAAAATCACGCAATGTTACATTAAACAAATGTAAATTATCGGGTTTATTTGCCTTTTTTTACTATAGAAATACATAAATTTGAATATATATATAAGATATAGATAAAGCATTTAGCTGCTCGAGTACACAGTTTCACGGCAAAAAAAAGAAATAATTCACAGAAAATGGTATCGCTCATTTGTTTCTATCTCATATTTTTACCTCTACCTCTCCGCCCTCTTTCATTTGGCTATGTATACTAAAAAAATAATATTAAAGGTTTTCACTACATTAATCCTTTTAAATATTCTGAGTTCGATTCCCACCGAAACAAGGACAAGACCCGCTTCATGAGACTGACGGCCGACCTACAGTAACGGAGAGGCGCTAAAAAAAGAAGAACCATTAATAGATTATGAAAAAATAAGACAATTTTCATTGTTTTAAACAGAACCGTATAAAGTATAGTACAGGTGGATATCGTTGTAACTGGAGAAAGGAGAGGATAATAGCTAAACCAGATGTCAAATGATGTTTTGTGCTCTGTTTCACCTTAATACTTGAAAAGATGAGTGTGTTGCAGTCTAAAGTAGCATAGAGTTTCTGTTTTGGCCTTAATTCGCAATATGCTTTTGAACGAACGCGTCTCGTCTTTGCATCTCATTTTGTATACAAAAATAACTTCTATGTATATTAAAGGAAAGTTTTAATATTTTTTTCTACTCTACAATTATTGCCGTAGTAGTTGTATTTTTTGGTGTTCCGATATTTCCCCGGAAATTCATTGATGAAGACGCATCAAGTTTAGTTTTGTATGCATATTACCTTAGCTTATTACCGTGAGACCAAAATTGCTACTATCAACGATTTTCAGTGCTGAAACTATATATAGTACTTCAAACAAAATATGCATATAATCAACAATGCCCATGGCAATTTGTTATCAGTTTATTAATAGCAAATGTTAATAAAGCCGTCCTTAACATTAATTAGGTCAGAGGGATACCCTTTATATTGTGCAGGTATTATCATAATCTAGATCAAGGTTTTATGCGAAATATTTCATGCACAACTCGTGACTGAGGTTATCAACCAACTAGTTTATTGGAAGTTTTAGGTACTTATAAATTTATGTTAATATTTTAAGGCATGTTTGGAGTCTCAAAACCCAAAATGGAACTTGAGCAACATTTCGCATAAGTTGCGTTGCTATTTTGAAAATAAAGTACGTGATCAGACTGCCAACTTAATTAATGTTTATTCTAGAATAATTGTTTCGTCGGCTAATGTACATGTAATAATCCTACGATGAAATAAAAAAATATCTCCAAATTAACACGCGAATAAAAGCGAGAAAATATTGGTTTTTGCGATTCATGTATATTACCTACTTACCAATTATTACGCAGGATAAAGATGTTTTCGTAACTGATTAAAATAATATTATAAAATACTCCACGTAAGGATTATAATAAGGCCAAATCATTCCAGCCATTTCTTTGTTTTTCTATAAGAATGTTGTTGAAGAAAATAATGACCAGTGACAGTTTAAATAAGCTGTATTGTTTTCAATTCACATTCCATTGTATCGTGTTTTGTATTATATCTACGTGAAAAATGCTAATAAACCTGCAGTATACACGCAAACGAGTCGTTCTATGTAAATAATAACTGTCACGCTCGATTTAAGGCGAATGTAGGTTAGAGCAGTTCTGTGGTAAAAGTTGCAATAATTATAATATAACTGTGTATAAGCACATAAATCCCAGATATAAAATCGTTCTCGAAAATCCTCATACATAAAAAATAACCCACACTATAAAATTTATTTAAAACACAGTTTTAGTTTGCAACACAGTTTGTAGCAGTAAATTTTTCGACTAAAACATACCACACTATACCTTAGTATATTTATGTTAGAACCACGGAATGCAATCCCGATTTGAGATCATAATCATTCGGGATTAGAAATTCAATCCAGGGGATCCGGAGATTTTTCGAAATCATAGTTAAAAAAACACATGACTGAATACGATGAAAACTGCTTGTTTGTGATAGTGAAGTTAATTAAAACAATATTATTTGAAAGAAAACAAAGCCTTAATCCTTTAATATTTCTAATAAATAATTAACCTTTTACATGAACATTAATACACAAAAGTAGGCATAGTCAAGGAGATTAAAAAGTAGTAAAGGGGATTTTGAAAGTTACTCTTAAAAAACAAAGTGTATTAAGAGCGCTATCTGCTAACTGGCATCTTATGTCCGTTGCAATATACCAGCTGCTGAGAATGTCCTCTCCGCAACACTGGTTGGCAACAGCGTGACTAAGCAATTATATGCAAATTGCAAAAATCTCCCCTTTGTTCCTTCCTCCACACTCAGATTAATCGGATTTTTCAAATATAACAGCGCTGCAGTTGCTTTTATGCGACGCTCGGAGATACGATTGTTCATCGAAGAGACCAACTTTTCTGAGTTTTAGGTCTTCTAGCTTTTGAATCATGAAACGCAACGTATGTTTTGCACTAACTCAATGAGTCTCCTAATCCCGTCAATCTCGAACGGGATCTCGTGATATTATGCTTCGGGATCGATCCGAAAAGTTACACGGGATCTCGCCAATCGGGATCCCGCGGGATCGGGATTCATTCCCTAGTTAGAACAATTTTGTAAAAATTACAGGCAACTGTTTCTAGTTAAAATAATACAAACTTCATACAAAAATGCAAGTGTAACAAAAGTTGTCAACGTTTCATTTTAAAAGATCAAACAGTTATGTAATTGAAAAGCGCGCGAAAATTTTTAGTTAATAAGAAAGCTTTTACCATAAATACGATAAAGTGAAAAGAGATGAAAGTGATTGTGTAAACAATGCAATATCATAGTTTACGTGCTGAGAAGGCGACCTTTTTATTAAATGCACCACGGTCACCATTTGAATAATCATTAGCCAGATTTTCTTCTAAATATTGATAATATAGAATAAATAGAGAATACTGTTCCGTGCGCTTAGGTTTACGCATATTTATATACGGTCGATTTCCGACGAAAAACAAACAAACAAACAAAAGTCTTATACACCGCTTGCAATAATTTATTGAAACAATAGCGTAATTCTCTTGGGAATGTGTAACTGTTTAATTTGTCTTGAACTCTCTTGAGTTTATAACAACTTTGTAAATTGGCCATAGACGGACCATGTTGCCAGTCAAGACCTTTGGACTATGCAATATCCAGACCCATTGCTTAGAACTGCTCATTGTTAGAGCGCGAAGATTTCGTTGTCTTTTGAATACTTTTTGTTCTATCTATTTTGTTGGGCATTGTTTTTATTTATATTTAAAGTAAAGGACAGGTGAGGTACTGAGTTAATTAAGTTCATTGGAGAACAGGAATTGATTTTTATAAATACTAAAGAGCAGATTATTTCTCCATTTTGTTAAGACATTTATTGATTTCGAAAAATAAAATATTATTGATGTTGGCAAATAAAGCCTTAACGTGCCTTATACAGCTGTGTAACAACGCATTCAAAAACCTTGGCCGATTTTCTCTTATCACATTATTGAAATATTATCATCAACAATTCCTTTAGACACAAGTCAGTATTATCATGCCTTTCTGTATGCGGGTATGTGGAGTATTTATGACAATTTGAAGAGGATAAAAAAACGCTTTCATGTATATTTAAATCAAATAATTCATTATTTTTAATATGTTTATCCAATTTATTAATATAATTCAAACTTTAAAGTATTCCAGATTATTTAATATGATGTCAAACCTAAAATGTGTTCACATAAAAATAACAAAGGTGAGTTTTAAATGAGCACATTCTAGCTTTAACACTGAAACTGAATTCATACCCTATTTGCCGATTAATTTATCGTGTGAAGCCATTATGTTAATCATCATAATTGTATTTTATGCAAATCTATTACCGTAATGAATCATTGATTGACCGAGGGCTATATACCTCGCAAACACGATGCAGCTGGCTCTTACATAAGAACACGTCCGATTTACCTACTTGATGGGATTACAAATAACGTGAACACTTTCTCTGATAGTATAAAAAGTTGGCAGCTGGCAATGCCTACGGCGCAAACACAAATGTTCATTATCTAGATAAATTTATGTTATATTTTTTTAAATCTTGGTGTACAAATGTAAAAATACACTGTACACATATTTGTAACACATATCAAATACATAATGTACTATACGCACACACCCATAAACTCACGTTTATTTAATACATGACTTTTGTTTAATTAGATTTAACATTAAGACATACATTTTCCGAAACATGCACCATGTACCGCGAAATAATTGTAATCTATTCACTCACAAATCGCTCCCTAATGTGGGGACTAGCATCAGATCAATTTTCTCATTACGATATTATTGTCATGAATAAAGTTTTATTATTATATTCTTTGTTATATATATTAACACGTAACCTACTTTTTTGTTAATAACGAGCGAGACTTATAAGTAAGATCCCCAACACTTATTATTTTGCAAAAAACTAGCCGTTATAAATCTGTAAACGGAATTCTATTACTGAGTGATATTATTGTTGATGTAATGTTAAAGAACTAAAGCTGAGTACGGACGCAAACGATTACGTATTTCGGAAATAGCTTTTAAAAGTTGTTTTGTGGTAACTGGAAAGTTATGAGAACTTGTGTGACACACAGTTGCTAACGTATGACTTCCTTTCTGATCATTATCTAAACAAATTGCTTATACATTCGTATTTTTTTTAAATTAACAAGCAATGGAATACCTACGATTATAATACAATTATAGCATTTGACAATTGACCTTTACTAAATTAAATCAGTAAAGTGATTACCTA